TCGCCCCTCTCCTTTCCAGAACTCCAGGCTTCGCGAATGGGGCCCGAGTAGATGGGGTCGGTGGATTGCGCCGCATCGCCGATGCATCGGCGATGCGTCTCGATGTGGGGCCCGAATTTTCCGCGCCGACGGTGTTGATGCATCACCGATGTCGCCGATGCCTCACCGATGCGTCGCCCATGCATCGTTGATGCGGCGCGATTCTCCGAAGCCACCCACTCGAACCCCATGTGAGGGGCATCTATACCCTTCCTCTTCCTAGACAAGGGGGAGGAGAAAGGGGGAGGCGACCGGTTTCCCGCTGCCTGTGGAGGGGCCGCCCACGTCGAAGGGGGGCCGCGCGCGGGAGATCGACGGCGGCCGCGCGCCGCGCCTGGAGCCGCGCCAGAAGCGGTGTACGCGCCCCCTGGCGTGGCCACGGTGGCACCTGCACCGTTCCTGGGCCCAGGATGGGCCTGGTCAGCGGCGGTGGATCTGTGCAGATCGCGTCGCCCTATTTGTGGGCTCCCCGCCCGCTGCTCCGACTGGTCGGGTGTATGTTCATGCGTGGTCGGACGTGTTCGTCGCTTCTCGCTGGTTCCCAGTGGTTCCTCCCAGGTCGCCCGCCTTGAGGGCATTTTGGTGGGTGGTGGGTGCACGAGCAGACGTTTGAAATCCTCTGATCATGGCTTGAAGGAGCGAACGTGCCACGCTGTCCTTCCCTTCTCACCTGCCGCTTCGTCGCTCGCTCCCCACTCTGATGGTGTCGTCGTCGTCGTTGTCGCCGTCGTCGACGTCGCCGTCGTCGACGTCGCCGTCGTCCTCCGAATACAGTCGACCCGCAGAGTAAGGATAGGCATCCCTCCCAAGGGCACCCTTGCATCCTTGCCTCCTGGGTCCATCCTTGGACACTTTCGTTGGCCGCGCCCCGCTCGAAAGGCTTTGAAATGGGCATCCAAAGCCCTTGCATCCTTATCGCGCATCCTTACTGCACGGGTTGACTGTATCGTGGGCCGGCGCGGGGTTATCCCTGAGCCGAAACCCGACCCAAGGGGATGCACGCCCCCGCATACGTTTTTTGTTGTTTTGTCAGAGTGGGTCGTCCCAGCCTCGGGGCGCTCTCCGGCAGCTGCGCGTCGCCGAGAACGTTCCAAGGGTGACTGGATCGTCCCGAGCAGCCGCCGGAAAGTCGAGTTGCGTATGACCCGAAAAAGACAAACAAGCAACGCGGTGTTCCTGGCGCAAGGTTCCCCCCTAGAGGGTGTTGCGCCGCGCTCTGATGCCCCCCGGGGCCGTCTGGGCCGCCTGGGGTGTGCTCTGAAGTCAGTCGGGGTCTCCTGAGATGTGCTCCAGGCAGTCGGGGCTTCCTGGAGGGTGCTCTAGAGGCCGTGGGGGCCCCCTTGGAAACTCTGGGCCTGAAGGCAGTCGTGGCCCGCTTGGAATCCCAGGGGGGCAATTTTTTCTGGGGAAAGGAAGGCGAACATTAATGTCACGCTGCCGTCGTAAGCCCGTCGGCGCTTTGCTCTTTCGTTTCTGTTGCCCGAAGGCTCGGCATCTGTTCCACCGTAGTTTCACACGCAAATGGGCCCCTCACAATTGCGTGCCATGGATACGTGTTTTCATTCCCCCCATTTTGTGGCCGATGCATCATATCTGTCTCCGCGGCCTCGCGGGCGGGGCCCCAGGGCCGCGGTCCCGCGCCGAACGTATGCGTTCGACCGCGTATCCGCGGGATCGCGCCCCGAAAGCCAGACCGCGACGGCGCGGACACGGACACGTTCGCCGCCCGCGACTGCTTCTGGCAGCACCCGAAGCTGGCCGCCCCTCTGGCGGCCGCCCCGCGGGGCGCCCCCTCGGTGCCCGACCCTGGCCCGCCCACTGGCGCGACCTTCCCGCCGCACTGGCTCCGCCCGGCCACTGCCCCCGCCCGACGACCCACGGACTCCTCCTTCCTCCGTTCCCCGTGCTCCTCTCCCGTCCTCTTCCCCCGCCTCCTCTCTCGTCCCCCTCCTCCTCTCTTCTCTCGACCCCGTGCTGCGATCCGGGGGTTCTTAAACTGACTGCTGGGGGAGGGGCCCTCCAGAAGTTTCACGACGGCGGGAGCAGAGCGCCTCGTGAACACCCTGCGTCCGCCGCCCTTTTGAGCGACTGGAGACTTGGCCATGCGCATCTAGCGAGCGGGCGAGCCTCCCCCCTCCTCCCTCCTCCTCCCCCGGCTCCCCATACGCGCCTCCCGAAACGGGTGCACCGCCGCGTGGTCCGTTGGGGGTGGCCAGAGCCCCTCGGGGCAGGAAGGCCCAGGGAGCCTTGGGGGCCGATCGCTCACGGCGGTCGGCGCTGCTCATCGAGCTCCATGTGGTGAGCCTGGCTCCTCTTCTTTTGCTTTCCTGTCCTCGTCCTGCTCTTCCGATCCCCGTGCCCTGTCAGGGGCGCTGCGCTCCCTCTGGCTCTTGTTGCTGGCGTTCGCAGTCTGCCCTCGGAGCGTGGCAGAATCGTGAAGGTGTCGGTTCGTCGCTCCTCCGCCGAGCAGGGCGGACACGAGTGCTGCTGGAATTGTTATCGAGCACTCGGTTCACCTCGTTCCCTCCTGCCGAGTCGATGTGGTCCTCCCCCTCTCTCTCCCCTCTCCTCCTCCACAGTTACACAATATGAAAATACTCTCCCACTTCCCCTGATGGCGTCCCGAAGATATCCGACCCCCCCCCCGCGTACTGTTTTTTACACAGGATTCCCGGGAAACGGGTTTTCGCTTGCGTTTTTTCCAAAATGCTGCTCTCGCTGAGGCGCCGGCCTCATTTCTGCTCCCGAATCGTTCCGAATCGCGCTCCCGCTGCAGCGTGGGCCTCATTTTCGGATCGGTGTTTGGCCTCCGTCGTTCAGGATGGCGTTCTCGCCCCAGCGCGGGCCTCTTTCTCGCGCGCCCATCCGCCCGCCACCACCGCGCCGCACCACCACCACCACCACCACCACCACCACCACCACCACAACCACCACCAGCACCACCACCACCACCACACCGCGCACACACGCACGCACGCACGCACGCGCACCACCACCCACTACGCACGCGCGCGCGGAGCCACAGGTCCGCTACGACACGCGTCCGCGGATAGAGAAAATCAGCGCCATGGTAAGGGATGGGAGGGAGGGGTAGGACGTCAGATATGACGCGAGCGCACCTAGCTTGTCCTCCTCCTCTTCCTCCTCCTCCTCCTCCTCCTCCTCCTCCTCCACAGCTGCACAATATGAATACGACTCTCCCCTGGTGACGTCCAGGCAATGTTCGACCCCCTTCCGCGCACTGTTTTTTCACACAGGATGCCCGGGTAACGGGTTTTCGTTTGGGTCGTTGTTTTTCAAAATGTTGCTCTCGTTGCAGCGGTAGCCTCATTTTCGAGCTACCGCTCGTTCCGAATCGTGCTCCCGCTGCAGCGCTGGCCTCATTTCCGCGCTTCCGTTCGTCCCGAATCGTGCTCCCGCTGCAGCGTTGGCGTCGTTCAGCGCCATGCCAAGGCATGATTTTCGGTCTCTCCACGAGGCCCCAAGATATAGAAAATACCCCACCGAACAAAAATCATCGGAAGTGATAATGCATTCGGTGTTGATTCGTTGATTTTTGGGGTCGCAGCAGCCCCGCCCCCCACTTTGGGCGGTCCTTCCAAGTAGGCCCCCAAATCTAGAAAATGCCAATCGAAACAACCATCGGAAGTGATTACACATTCGGTGCCGATTCGTTGATTTGTTGGGCCGCAGAAGCTCCCCCCGACTTTGGGGCGTCGCCACGCCATGCTATGTCAGGCCACGCGTTGAACTTCAGCACCATGCTATGCCATGAAATGCAATGCCCTGCTACGGCATCCGACTGCGCGAATAGAGAGGAGATCTACGTCGTGGCAAGGGATGGGAGGGAGGGGTAGGACGTCAGATATGACGCGAGCGCACCCAGCTCGTCCTCCTCCCCCTCCTCCTCCTCCCGCCGGCCCGTGGCCGCTCGGCGTTTGGCGCCACCCGCGACCCACGAGCATGCCCTCGCGGTGTGCACCCCGGGGAGGCGCTCCCGTGGAGGCGCGACCCGGGGGCAGCGCAGCGCTCGTGTCGACTCCTGCGATCCGATTCGGCTCCTGGGGGAACGAACGATGGCACAAGCATGAAAACTCTGAGGTCCGCGCGGGTTTCTCGGATCCGCGCTGGACCCCCCCGGCGGCGCCGCCTCCAGAAGGGGGGTCCAGTATCCGCGCGGACCTCCGAGTTGTTATGTTTATGTCATTGTTCGGTCCCCTGATTCCATTCCGATGGATTCCGATTCCGATTCGGTTCGACGTCGGGTTCCGATGTGGATGCCGCTGTCTTTACGGAGGCCTACTGGCCTGCCGATTCCCACCGCCTTGACTGCTCCCGACCCGGCCGCCGATTTCCGCCGATACGATTCATGACGATCGCCGATGTGATTTGTCGATTCGATTCTGGGCTCGCCCGGGGCAACCTTCGGGGGGAGATTGTCTCAGGGGGGGGGGGGGGCGCATCACCCACAATCGCCGGCGGGCCGTCAGTTGGCCCACCCTGGAACGAGCAGGTCCGCTACCAACGGGTCTGCCGCCGATCCATGGGCGATGCCTTGCCGATACCAGCTCGGTGGTGTCTCCCTCGGACGGGGTTCCCCCGAAATGTTGCCCCTCAAATACGTGCGTCGGGGGCAACGATAGGGGCGGATACGCATAGGGGGGGGGATGCATCGACCCCCAATGGCCCATCGATCGCCGATAGGGGCCCGATAGCCCCAACCTGCACAGGAAGGTGCGGATTCACTATCGGGGATCTATCGCCGGTCTATCGGATTCCAGGTCGATGCATCTCCCCCATGCCAGTTCCCCCCGATCATTGCCCCTCAGCGCGGAGCATGCGCTAAGAGCCGCCCTGCATCCATGGGGTCGCGGCCGAGACACCCTGACCGCGAGGTCGTGAATTCGTTTCTCGCCCACGGCCACCGCCGCCTCCTGCGCCCCCGATTCTCACCCCGCAAGGGGTTCATGCACTTCGTGTGGTCTGGCACCGAGAAGTGCAAGGCCCTCGTTGGCGAGCTGATTGAAGAGGCGAAGGCGCCCTTCTCTCTTTTGTCCCCCTGCCTGTCCAGGACGCCGGCGGCGCATCACTGGCCGCTCCCTGGGAGTTTGCCGAAGTGGTGCGCAGCATCGAAAGTCGTGACGCGGCGCGTATGTCTGCTATCACCGTCCCGCTTCCTGGATCTGTCCTTGGAGCCGCCAATCAAAAAAGTATGTCTGCTATCAAATGGCCGTCGGCCCATCCCGCGACTGTGCTTGGGCTTTGGGTCGGAGTCATCATGGATGCTTCCCGGGGTCTCTCGAGAGGGCTCTCGGGGGCCTCTGCGGGGGAGTTTAGGGGCCTCTTGAGGGCCTCCTGGGGGCTTCTTGGGAGCCTCTTGGGGCCCTCTTGGGGGCCTCTTGGGGGCCTCTTGGGGCATCTTGGAAGCTTCCTGGGGGCCTCTTAGGTCCTCCTGGGGCCCTCTTGGGACCGAAAGCTCGAAATGTCAGTTCGGGTTCCCCGTCTGGGCCCCTTCTTGGGGCCGTCCTGAGACCCTCTTGGGCCGTCCCGGGGGCCTCTTGGGCCGTCTTGGTGCCCTCCTGGGCCGTCTTGGAGCCCCCTTGGGGGCTTGTTGGGTCGTCCTGGGGCGATCTTGGGGGCCTCTTGGGCCGTCTTGGAGCGTGGGTAAGCCGAATTGGCGATAACGCGAAAATCCCTCAAAGCCATTGGACAATCAAAGATTTTTCCCGGCAGAGTCGGGTGAAATTCCGTGCCCGCCGGTGACTGACTTACTGATTGATTGACTGACTGATTGACTGATTGACTGACTGAACGTCAGGAGGGCACCTTGAACAACACATTTCAAACCGCCCGCGGGCGCGCAACCGCAACTGGGCGACACATTTCGACCCGTCCGCTTGCGCGCAACCGCAACCGCACCTGGGCGACACATTTCAACCCGCCCGCGGGCGCGCAACCGCAACCGCACCTGGGTGACACATTTCAGCCCGCCCTCGGGCGCGCAACCGCAACTGGGCGACACATTTCAACCCGCCCGCGGGCGCGCAACCGCAACCGCAACTCGGCGACACATTTCGACCCGCCCGCGGGCGCGCAATCGCAATCACAATTGGGCGACACATTTCAACCCGCCCGCGGGCGCGCAACTGCAACCGCACCGCTCACGTGTCGTCGTCATCCAGGGGGTCTGAGGCGGAGGAAGGGTGGGAGGGAGGTGGGAGGGAGGGGGGAGGGAGGAGGGAGGCGGGAGGGAGGAGGAAGTAGGGGGGGGAAGGACGGGGGGGTAGAGAGCTCACAATGATTGGGGGCGGACATCTTCTGCCCCCCCCTCGTTCCACGCAAGTGGATCTCCACAAGGCTCCAGACCTTGGGTTCCTGATCCAAGGCCTCTACGGTCTGCTAGCGGGATGGGTGGGTTAACCGCCCCCGAGGGGGGAGACGACGCCTTGACAGAAACGGTCAGTTGCACCGCCTAGTTTGAAGTTGGGGGGGTGATGCCGCGGGGATCGATTGCGCGTTCACCCGCGCGCAAGCTGCCCGCGGATGTAGGTGCATCGGCGCCGTCTTATTTTTGCAGCCTGCCGCGTCTTATCCATGTCTGCTGCAGGAGCAGGTGGAGGAGGAGGGGGAGGAGCACGAGGAGGATGTAAGGGAGGAGGAGGAGGAGGAGGAGGAGGAGGAGGAGGAGGAGCAGCAGCAGCAGCAGCAGCAGCAGCATCAGCAGGACGAGGAGGATGATAATGATGAGGAGGAGCAGCAGGACGAGGAGGAGGAGGAGGACCAGGATGGCCAGGAGGAGGAGGACGATGGGGAGGGGGATGCCAGGGTGGTGCTGCTTGAGAAAGTGTACGAGCAGGTGTTTGTTGCGGAGGACTGAGGAGGATGAGATGGTGGACGTCGAGGAGGATGGAGGTGGATGTCCTCCTCGCGGCCTCTGGGCGTGACCCGCGGTTTTCCGCCGGGACATTGCAGCGGGGAGTCCCCGTTCCACGCTGCTGCCTCTGACTGCATGTTGGGGCTTTCTTGGGGGTGCTCTTGGGCCGTCTTGGAGGCGTCTTGGGCCGTCTGGAGGCCATCGTGGGCTTCTTGGAGCGATCTGGAACCGTCGGGAGGCTCTATTGGGCTGTTCCGGACTCTTGGACTGGCTGCGAGACCGTCGTCCCCGGACCGCTTGAGACGTTGAAGTCGGGAGGGGGGGGGGGGGGGGGGGGGGGGGGGCGGCGGCAGAATGGGGCCCCCTCGGGGGGACTTCTAGGGAGTTTTTGACGAGGCATTGGCGAATAGGGCCAAACACTGTGCCAAACACTCTGTCGGAGAGGTTCCGCACGGCCCACACCGCAGGGCGGGAGCGGCCGGATCCGCAAGGACTTCGCCTCCTGCCGCTGGCCCCCTCTTTATCAGAGTTGGGATATATCAGAGTCGCGTCGGTACGTCTCGGTGCTGCTTTGGCGCATTTGTGAACATCATGCGGGGGCGAGCTGCTCGAGGAGGCACAGGCGCCCGTCGATTTGATCCCCCCGCCCATTTGTTTTCGCTCTCCTTCATTTTTGTTCTTTGCGCAATTCTCCCAGCAGTGCTTGCACTCAACTAGGGCCTCTGGCTTCCGAGGAACTGGGCCGGGGTGCCGGTCTGATGGCTCGGTGGTTGCCGTCTCCGCCCCGTTGCCGCTTCATCGCTGCCCCGTGGTCAGTACCTCGGTGCTGGTCTGGTGGCTCCGTGGTGGCCGTCGCCGCCCCGTCCCCGCTTTGTTGCCGCAGTAGTATCCAATGGAGACTGCACCGCATGGATGTCACCACACTGATTGCGTGCCGCTTGCAAAGTCGATGGCGTGCACTCCTGCCGGCTTCCACTGGCTGCGTTACAGTTTCGTTGGAAATTGGCATCTGGCTCAACGCGGGGGGCACTGTCCCGCTCTTGTGAGGCTTTCTCTCTCTCTCTCTCTCTCTCTCTTTCAGGACTTTCGGTTGATAGCCTGCGTTCGGTCAGATAATCGAAACCACCTGCACAACTGCCCAATCAAGTCATGCATCTTCCCCCCTTCTCTCAGTTCAGGGGGTCTCTCCGTGAGCGCCTCGTGAATGATGTGCCCTCTCGCGTCGACCGATGACATTGCGGCAGCGCGCGCGGACGTGGGCGCGCCCTTTCCCAGCTACAGAAGCGCAAACCGCGTTCCAAAGTCAGATTCACTTGCCACCTCCTACGAGGGTATCATGGCTTGAGACAGCCGTCCGCAGCGGCGGGGGGACGGGTGGGAGCACCTCGCAAGCACGATCTTCCGACGGGCGAGCGTCGGCGAGCCCCGTCAGTATTCTACTCCCGAGAAAGGCAGCAGCGATGCAGACTTGAACCCAAACAGTGACCGAGGGTTCCCGCGACGGCGTGAGCACGAGTCGCGAAAATCGCCGATCTCCCGATCAATGCCAGGAGAAACGGTCAATTGTCATTTCGATGTTACAGAGTATCCCTGAAATGGAGAACACGTCTCCCGCCGAGCACGCCGCCGCCGATCCCGCGGCCGGCGTTTTCGCGCTGCCCCCACCTTCCCAGTTGAGACGAACGCCGAAACAGACAGCGAAGGCGGCGGAAATGATGGCGCCTCTGCTTGGGGCATGGCGGCCTGGCTGAAGGGGAAGGGATGCGATGAAGGAAACGGGGGGGGCGCAGGAGGTCGGCGCACCCACGGGCGTGGCGAGCGCTGGGAGTGAAAAGTAAGAGTCGCGAGAAAGATGGGGAGAAATAGCACGGCAGCCAGATGGCACCTGCTGCGCAGGCGGCGGCGGCTGAGCGGGCAAACCAGGCGCCATGGAGCGGGCAGCGCCAGCGGCGGCGGCTGATGTCCTGGAGGCGGTCGGCGCGAAGATGCGCAGAAGGACGGGTGTGGAACGCGGGGGGGCGCGTCTGCGCGGCGGATGGGCGAGTCTGGAAAATGGAAGGACGAGCATGGCAAGTCCTCGTGGCAGTACGGTTCCGAGAAGGAGTGGGACAAGAGACGCAAGTGTGACAGCGGCTGGGGTCGAAGGTTCTCGAGGTCGTCGCGAGCCGCGACGTCGCCTATGCGGCTTCGCGATCGGAACTGGGGTGCCCCGCGGGCCTGACGAGTCAGTCAAGAGTTAGGGGTGCTTCGAGCAACCGGGCCTTCGCCATTGCAGCGCGAGCGGGCGTTGCGCGCAAGGTGAGTGCTGTCGGCCGTGTTTGGCGTTGGGCGTTGGGACTCCCTGGCGCTGCGCGCCGAGTCCCAGCGCGCGGGGGCTCGGCTGCCCCGGCGCCCGGCGCGGGGGGGCGATGACGGTCAGTTCTGCCTGCGCCATGTCATCACCAGTTTGCCGCCGTTGCGTGCGTTTGGTTCAAGTTGTTCTCCCCTCAAGGGAGGTGGTCGGTGAATCTGACTTTGGAGAGCGGTTCCCGTGTCTGTAGTTGGACAAGGGAGCGCCCTCATTCGCGCGCGTTGCCGCAATGTTGTCGACTAGTACGAACGGACATCTCATGTACAACGTCCCCTCGAAGAGATCTCCTGTGAGAAGATTCATCACGTTGGTCGGGATGTTTTGCAGACGGTGTCGGTCATCTGGCCCAAAAACACGCAGGTCATGCGCGAGGGATTGGGCACTTGGGCGACCCGGGCTACTCGTGTCAAGCGGCCGCCCAGTCAGGCTACTCGGGCTTTCCGAGTCGATACAGGTAGAGACACGCCTGGCCGGCGCAGCGTTTGGAATCCCGCCGAAATCGATGATTTCAAGGTTTCCGCCGGGCATTGCAGCGATGCCTGTATCGGGAAGGATTGGGTTCGTTCGGTTGATGGTTAAAGTGCCTGATAGTTCTGTCCCCGTCAGGCGGGAGCTGATTGAGGCTTACGCGTGCAGACTCACGCGCGAAATCTATATGAAGGATGGTGTCATGAGTTTGTGCGTTGTGAATCCCGCAAGACGAGCGTTGTCTGGCCTGTCGTCGTGTGTGCCTGGCGTGCGTTCCGCAAGTCAGAGTGAGGGGGCCGAACGGTCATTTACTGTCCCTGGGTGCGTGGCTGAAGTGGAATTCCGCGGTGCGGATTCTCGTTGTTGTTGTTTGTTGTTGTTTGTTGTTGTTTGTTGTCGTCGTCCCACCCGCAACCCGCCCCGCGACCCACCCGCGACCCACCCCGCGACCCACCCCGCGACCCGCCCCGCGACCCACCCGCGACCCACCGGCGACCCACCCCGCGACCCACCCCGCGACCCACCCCGCGACCCACCCCGCGACCCGCCCCGCGACCCACCCCGCGACCCGCCCGCGGCCCACCCTGCGACCCACCCGCGACCCACCCGCGACCCACCCGCGACCCACCCGCGACCCACCCGCGACTACCCCGCGACCCACCCGCGACCCACCCGCGACCCAAACCACGTTCAAGGTACAAACCACTATTTTCGGCGCCTGCGGCGGGTTTTCTTTGCATTCCTTCCGGGTGGAGAGCCCGCGACCCACCCCGTGACCAACTCGCGACCAACCCGCGACCCAAACCACGTTCAGGGTACAAACCACATTTTGCGGCGCCTGCGGCGGGCATCTTTTGCATTCGTTTCGGGTGGAGAACCCGCGGCCCACCCGCGACCACGTTCAGGGTACAAACTTCATTTTTCGGCGCCTGCGGCGGGCATCTTTTGCATTCGTTCCCGGTGGAGAACCCGCGGCCCACCCGCGACCCAAACCACGTCCAGTGTACAAACCAATTTTTTTGGCGCCTGCGGCGGGCTGCTTTTGCATTCCTGCCAGGTGGAGGTGGAGAGCCCGCGACCCACCCGCGACCTAAACCACGTTCACTGAACAAACCAATGCCGCACAAGCGCGGCGGCGGATGACGGGAAGCGCCCTTGGCGTGGACCGTTTGTTGGTGGTAGAAACTAATGACGGGGTACGGGGCGCACTTGGAAATTGCGCTGGCGGATTTCTGAAAAATTGCAGTTTCGCTTGAGACATCCTCCAAAAATCGGCCCAAGAGGGGACTCCTCATCGACGTCGTGTTCGAATCGTTCTTGGAGGGCTTTCCAACGGCCCAAGGGAGGCCCAGAAGACGCCCCGGAGAGCCCCAAGAACGCCCAAGAGCGCCCCAAGAAGACCCCAAGAGACCCCCAAGAGCGCTTTAGGAACCACCCAGACAGCTCACAAGAACCCCAAGACGGCCCGAGAAGGGCCAAGAAGGCCCCAAGAGACTCACTGGAGCGCCCCAGGAGGCCCCCATCGCCGAGACGGCCTAAGAAAGCTCCCACAGAACCCTACGACGCGCCCAGACAGCCCAAGAAGACCCCAGAAGCCCATAAGAGGACCCAAGGGGCCCCCAAGAAACCCACAACAGGCCCCAAGAGAACCCCGCGCGGCGCAAGGAGCAACGTCTTTTTCCAATTGCCTCGTACTGTCCTCTGTCGTCGTCGTCGTCGTCATCATCGCCCTCCGCATTCCTCCTCGTACTCGCCCTCGTTCTCTTCGTCCTCGTCCTTGTGCTGTTCTTTATCATCGTTGTCCTCATGCTCCTCCTCGCTATCCTCACGTTCGCCACGTCGTCCTCGTTCGTCATCGACTTTTCGTTGTCCTCGCCTTCCTTTTCTTCTTCGCCCAATACGCCCATTAGACTACAGCGGCGCTTCCCGTTCTTGTCCGATCAGGTTTTTGCATGCCGTCTGAGCCCGCAATGACCTCTTCAAGCCCCGCGCATCCACACCAGCCCGTCCAGCAACTCTGCCCTGGCGAGTTGCCTTGATCAGAGAAGGCGGGGAGCATAAAGTGGGAAAAAGGATTGCGTTGCAGTTATCTTGGGAAAGGAGGGGGAGGCAGGAGGAGTAAACAGGGGACGAGTAGAACGCGGAAGAATAGAGGATGTAAGGAGAATGTGGAGAAAGAAAAGGAGGAGGAGCAGGAGGACGAGGAGGGGGAGGAGGGGGAGGAGGAGGACGAGGAGGGGGAGGAGGGGGAGGAGGATGATTATGGACGAAAATGGGAGGACGATGATGGAGGCCGATGAGGGGGAGGACGACAATTGGAGGACGATGATGAAAGGACGAGGGGGGGAGAGGGAGGACGAGGAAGAAGAGGAGGAGGAGGAGGAGGGGGACGAGGTGGAGGAGGAGGATGACGATGAGGACGAGGACGATGAGGACGAGGAGGAGGAGGTGGAGGAGGTGGAGGAGGTGGAGGAGGAGAAGGAGGAGGAGAGCGCCATCGACAGGGAAGGTGGGGGCCACGAGGTCCGCCGGCTCGACGACGCCCGCGTCGCCCGCGCCCGCCCCCTCACTCTTATCCGCAATTGCGGGGTGCTACGTATTTCTTTTGTGCAGCGGTCAATTACAGCTATTGATGCGATCGTGCGTTGTCGACGCAGAGAAGTGCCGGTAACATGAGCAACGCGGCATCAATACGTACGCGTTCCACGTAGCATATGCAAGGGCACCGTTAGGTGGGGGCGGTTCAGGTGGGAGCGCGTCGACCCGACCCTGCCCAGTAACAAGAAGATTTGTCGGTGCCCATCGCTGATTTATCGGCGCGGTATCGCTGATAGCAGACCGATGCCTCCCGCGTAAGATGTACGTGGAAGGAACGCTCCGTCAAAGTGTACGCGTGGATGTTTGGCAGATGCGGAGGGCCGGTGGCGGGAGCGTAGCGGTCCGCAGAGGCGCGCGGCAAAAGCTCGCGGGTGAAATCGTTCGGGGGCGTCTTTGGCCCCCGCCTTGAAAAGGGGGTATGGGGGAGGAAGGAAAAGGGGAAGAGGAAGGGAAATGGCTTACGGGCTGGGAAGGGGAACTCGTGAGTCACATGGGAGATTACATTTTGTTGCGCAGGCCCGTCCTGCTTTCCATCAAGAAACCACTGCCTTTCATTTGGTGCAACATTCGATTCAACGGCTAAGAGAACGATGTTTGATCATACCGTAGCACATGACTGAGGAAACCAGCGCGTGATTTGTCAGGTGATTCGATGGGGAGGCAGCTTCGTCAGCACGAAAAGGGATGGGATGGATGGGGCGGGGGAGGGTGCACGGTGGGCGCGCTCGCGCCATATGCGGCATCCTACCCAACCCACCTTTCTTGTCCCATTGCTCTGTCTGTTTCTCCGTCTAGCGAAGCGTATTATAGCGAATTCGGATCTCCGAAAGGACCCAGCTCATCATGCGCAATTAGAAAAAAGTTTGTGTACGTTGAAGTAGGAGGTGGCGGATGGTCAAGAGGTTGAGCAGAGGAAAGACGATGAGGAGGAGGAGGAGGAGGAGGAGGGGGAGGAGGACGAGGAGGAGGAGGAGGTGGAGGAGGAGGAGGAGGAGGAGGAATGAAGACGATGACGATTAGGAACACCAGAAATAAGATGGACCTGACACCGCCCCCTCAAGCGTGCGTTCCTCGGCGGGCTGTCAGGAGCACCCGCTCATCACGCTCCACCTGGACGTGACCGACCAGGAGCGTGGCCCCCCTCCCCCCCTGGAGGGCCTCGGGGGCCTGCCACGACGCGTGGAGCCTCCTGGCCGTCCTGGACGCTCCTGAGACCGAAGGGGCGAGAACGTTGAAAGCGTCGTGTTGGGCGATCTTGCGCAGGATGGATCTTAGGTCGGTTATTCCAGAAAGAGCCCGATCCATCGACTAAGAAATAATCCATAGGGTTTCATCTGAAGATAATGAACCTCGGCTTATCATTCTTTGATCATGAACCACGGTCGACGAGGATTTCGGAGGTGTCCTCATCTTGCGTGAGTTGAGGCGTTCCGCCCCCAAGACAGCCCCAGAGACCCGAAGAGGGGCCAGGGGCCTCGAACGGGCCCCCGATGCAGTCTTCGGACGTGCCGGATGCCTGGCTGGACGCCAGGAGCCCCAACGAGGGTTCTGGGGGCCCAGGAGAGGTCACAGGGGAAGCTTGGGGTGTGCCCTGGGGCGCCCAATAGTTGGCATTTCCGCAACTGTGAAGGGCCCCAGTTCGAGCCACCCTGTGGCTAAGAAGAAACAGCTTGGAGGCCCATCTTGGGGCCGTGGGGTGCCTGCTTCGGGCCATGTAGGGACACATTGGGGTTATCCTGAGGTTTGTGGGGGGCATTTCGAGGCCATCGACGAGTATTGGTTGGGAAACGTTGGTCAGGGTGCTGAGTGGTACCACCACTCGTGGCTTGCTGTGGGCGCCGTTGGCCACTGGGACACCTCCAAAAAAGGACAGGACTGGAGAGACAATTAGCAATCCACACAGAACCAAGAACACACGGGCAGCTCATTAGTGTGTTCCTTAGCGTTGCGCCCCCAAGAGGTCCAGTTGATTATCTTGCCACTGTCATCTAGTGGCTACTTGATTGGCGCTTGTTCATCATGTTCTTCACATTATCGAAGGCGCCTCTGGCGAACCACCGCGGCGACTGCCTTGGGCCAGAGCTTGGCCAAGCCATTCGACATCTCTGGAACCTCGGGGGCCGTTTTTGTGGGTGACCTTGGTGGCATCTGGTGCCGTCGTGGACGCTCCCAAGGTTGGACAGGCGAGTGTGCAAGAATCGTACAACGCCAACGGCTGTTCAATGATTTTGGCCTCACGGGCCAGGCCCCCATTCCCGTTGTGCTGCTCGCGTGTAACTGTTGCTGATGGTTCCTCCTATTTCCTCCTCTTCCTCCGCGTTGCTGATGGTTTCTCCTCGGGTTCGTTGTGGAGGCATTCGGGGCGGCCTCTTGGAGCCGTCTCATGGGTCCTGGGAGCCCTTTTGGGGCATGTTGGGCATCTTCGGGGCCATCTTGTGAGGGGGCGGGGGGCTCCCCGGGCCCCCGCGAGTTCGCTCTTGTGGGCGTCTCTTGGGCCTCTTGAGCCGGTCTGGGCCGTCTTGGATTGGCAATCGGCCGAGAAGGCGAGAGCGCGAACATCGTAAAAAGAAGAAACAACCCATGTATCAGAAGTTGGGTTTGCCTCTTGGGAGTCCTCATGGGGTTCGTTTTCAGGCTATCTTCAATGTTCTTGAGGCCTTTCCAGCGTGTTGGAGCCCTTCTGGGGCCATCTTAGAAGACATCTTGGACATCTTGACGGCCACCGAGGGTGGATTTGGAGGCTCCGAGGGCCCCAGAAATGCGTTGATGAGCTCGTGCCCCTGGAACACCCCCGGGGGAGGGGGAAAGGGGGAGGGGGACAGCCAAATATCTCACGTGCTGTCTCACCCCTGGCTGCCGGGGGACGGCGGACCGTCCTGGACCTGTAGAGAATGCTCGAGGAGACCCGAGGAAACTCCACTCAGTACCTCGGCACCCTCGCTGATAACGAGCGCCCTCTCTCCCACGCCCCTTCCTCTCGTCCTCTGCCTCTCCGCCCTACGCCTTCGTGCGCCATCTGGGCCTTGGTGTCGGTCTGGCGGCTCCGTGGTCGCCGTCGCCGCCCTGTCGCCGCCTCGTGGGCGCCCGTTGTTTGGGCCTGCATTGCTTGGTATTGATTTGACTTGCTATGGCGTGCCTTGCATTGCATTCCATTGCTGTGCATAACGTAGGTTTGCGCCACATGTATTGCACCACAAATTGCATCACATAAATGTCACCACATATATTGCACAACATGTAGTCGGGCAAGTTATGGTGTACATCATAGATTGCACCACGTAGGTTGCACAACATATATAGTACACCATATACTGCACACCATGTATTGCACAGCATAGGGTGCATAGCATATATTGCGAGACATGTATTGCTCTACTTACACTGCGCAACATGTATTTCTAGAAACACACTGTTTGGGGTCCACGCTGGTATTATACCGTGTGTGTAATCTGTATGCGACAGTCGCGCGCACGCGCGAGCACACGCACACACAACACACACAACACAACACAACACACACACACACTTATTCACACACACACACACGAACACGCACGCTTACAACTAATTACACACAAGCACACACATTTTTGCGGTCGCTGCCTCGCGCGCAGCAGCGTGGCGGAGCTAGTCAGGCACGGCGGCCGAGACCTAAGCCGGTGCGGGCGCGGGCCGGTTCAGCGGGGGGGGCTCGTGGCTGGCGGGGAGGAGAGAGAGAGCACTTACTCAAGAAGTGGCGAAGCGTCTTGGCTCGCCTACAGCCCCACCAAAAACTGTTCTAAGAACCTTTCGTGGTTTGCACGAAATGTTCTTAGAAGATTTCTGATTGAGACTGTCTTGGTTTAACACATCGGGTGAATGTTCTAAGAACTTCGTTTGTTTGTTATTAAAACATTTTGGGGTTCTAAGAACATTTCCTGGTAGGACTATAGGAATGCCGGGACGGTCGGTCCTTGCTCAACTTCCGCCATCCAGGGGGACGTCCCACCCGAGGTCGCAACACAGCCGGAGAGCACACAGCACATTAGCAGTCGGGGCGTGGATGGCAGGGAGGAGAGAGAACGCGCTGGCCGACGCCCAGGGGAAGGTCCCGCCCGGGGGCAGCGCAGACGAGGAAACAAGGAGTGCAGGCCGACCACTCGTTAGGCGGTGGCCGGAGACAAGACGAGGCAAACACACACACACACACACACACACACTTACGTCAGCTGGCGCAAGCGAGCCGAAGTAGGTGCAGGCGCCGGTCGGGCAACGGGCGGGACACGCTGGGAGCAAACATCGGGGACGATGAAGCGGGCAGGGGCCAAGACCCGCTCAGAACGTGAAGTACACACGTGTACACTTTCTGATCGCACGCGGCAGGGAGTGAATCCACACGGGCGTCCACAGGCGCGGGAGCACGAGTGCCATCGTTGTCGATGTTGCAGTTGCTGTGGGGCACGCACACAGACACACACGCACTCACAGAGATACGCGCACGTGAAGCACCCCGGGGTGGAGTTCCACTTTGATAGCGTGGCGAGCCTTGGCCTTGGCCCACAGGCGGGGAATGCACCCAGGCAACAGTTCAACTCTGCCCCACAAGGGCACCTCCATGTCCGCGTGGGGGGCTTGGGGCTGGATGAGGTGGATGACAACGACAAGTAGAGAAGGACGGGAGAAGGAGGAGGAGGAATGCTACAAATGAAGGGGCGAAGGTAACGGAGGAGTAGCATGAGGGGTGTGCAGGTTTGGGGTTCTTGGGTTTGAGTTTGCTCGTTTGATGTACACAGTCGCAAGTTCAGCAGCCGATGACTTATCCCACCTTGCCAACACCATTGCTTCATGAAGGGAACTCGTAGTTATCCTTGGAATACATCGGGAGACAATGAGTCGTATGGTGGGTCGAGTGAGGCACGAGGATACTTGATTTTGTGAATGTGCATTACGCTTTGGAGCAGTCGCGTGGTCGTCTGGAGGCCACGGCTGGTTCATCAGGGCACCAACCGAGCATCAGGAGTTGCATGCCAAGGGCATCGTTGGGCTATCGTACAAACTAGTATCCCCAGCCACCTGTCTTACGGGAAGGCAGGCCGACTGCCATGCAGACGGACGTATGGTATTGTAACGGATCGGTGTGTCTCTGTAGATTCCGTCATTTTGGTTCGTTTGATGGCTTGTTGGATTTCATACATTCTCTTCTCTGGGGTAACCGACGTTCCAGGACTCCGGGAGGCATGGGATATTGATAGGTTCGGCCCCTGGGGCCTCCCAGAGATATCCACTTCCACCGCCTCCTGAGGCTCCAGCCTCGGACTCCTTCCTTCTCCATCTTCATCGTCCCGATCGCCATCGTCTTCCTCATCCTCGTCCGCTACCTCCTCCTCCTCCCTATCCCCGTCGAGGAGCTGGCGGCGCTTCACATGAAGGTGCAGTTCTTCCTCGGGGCACTTAGAGTAGGTGCCGATCCCCTCCCCGCCTTTCGTGTTGCTTCTCAGAAGCCGCCCCCCCTTCCGCTCCATCCAGCTGCTTTTCATCCTTCGCTCCTCTTCTTTCCGTTCCCTTTCTCTGCTGTCTTGTATGCCAGATGGCAATCGTCCTCGTCCTCGTCCTGCTCCTCGTCCTCCTCGCCCTCGAAGTTCTGCTCCGCCCCCTCCTTTTTTTTCACTTCTTCACCCCCTCCCTTCTTCTCCACTTCTGATTCAGGACGGCCCAGGGCTTCAGGACGGTTCCTGAAACCATCCTACGCCATGTCGGGACTGCATGTCCCGTACTACGCGCTTCTGGCTTCTGGACATGCCACGTGGGGAAGCCACGAGCGCGCCCAGACACGGCCAGAACTGGGAGCCGTGGGCCCCCCTCACCTAGGGGGGCCGGATGGGTCCAGCGAGGATTCCCTGCGAGGGCTCGCCACCTTGGCGCCCGTGGCCGCCTCGTGGCCGCCTCGTGCGCCGGGTGGGTCCGCCGAGGCTTCGCCACGTTGCTGCTCCCTGGCCGCCTCGTGGCCGCCTCGTGCGGTGGGTGGGTCCGCGAGGTTTCGCCACGTTGCCGCTTCCTGGCCGCCTCGTGGCCGCCTCGTGCGCTGAGTGAGCCCGGCGAGGTGTGGTCATGCTGCAGCCACGTGTTGCTTCGTTGCCGCCCCACGCTTGCACCATGTATACTCTACTGTCAAGAGGGGCTCAGGACCCGCCCCCGGAGCCCGGACTCATCAGGCCCACTTGGGACACCAGAACTCACATAGGATTTTGCCTCATTGCCTCATCGTTCATTTTCGATTTGAATTCACACTATCCCATCCCAACCGGTATCGACACCCCCCATCATCCCTGTTACATAATCCCATGCGCGCACATTCTTTGTTGCCTGCGGCCAGTCCCGCCTCCGTGACAGCCCAGCATTCTGGGTGGCGTCTTTTCGAAGGGGCACGGGATGCCGTCACGTCGTCACGTGAGACATTTCGTGTCTCCAGGCTTGGGAGATCCATGATGATGATGATGATGATGATGATGATGATGATGATGATGATGATGATGATGGTGATGGTGGTGATGGTGATGGTGGTGATGGTGATGGTGATGGTGATGGTGATGGTGATGGTGATGGTGATGGTGATGGTGATGGTGGTGATGGTGATGGTGATGGTGATGGTGATGATGATGGGAGCAGGAGGAAGAAGAGAAAGAGGCGGAGGAAGATGAGGAGGCAGGACGCCAAATTGGACACGAGTCGTCTTCCGTCGTAGAAGCTTCTTAGGCCGTGTTGAGCTGACGGAAGCTCGAAAAGGCTAGAATGTGAGAATCATCCCCAAACCGACAGCTAATCAATGATGTTGGTTCTTCGGGCCCTGTTGGAGGTCTTCCTGGGGCCCTCTTGGAGGCGTCTTGGGCCGTCTTGAGGCTATATCTGGCTGGGCCGGCTTGGAATCTCGGGACGCGGACGCACAGTTGATTTATTCTGGATCGTGGCCTGGAGAATGCGGATGCATCATTTTTGCCAGGGACCGTGGCCTATGGACCAGGGGTGATGATTGTAGCTATCTGCGAGTAGGGGCTTCTTAGAACACAAAAACCTTGCAGAGCAGCACCAGGCGTTCCAAAACGCCCACATCGTGCAGGCACGGTGGCGGGTCTCAAAAGATCATGTTTCAAACTCCCTTGCAGAAACTTGCCCAAAATCCATACGCGCGCACATGCACACACACACATACATATATATATATATATATATATATATATATATACATCTACATATACATATACATATATATATATATATACATATACATATACATATACATATACATATACACATACACATACACATACATACATACATACATACATACATACATATCCCGGGGGACCGAGGCTCCCTGGCCGGGCCCGAGGACCTCCGCACCGCATGGGATGACAGGGGCCCCGAGACCGCACTCAGACTCTGTCCAAGCACGCTGCAGCTCGGGAAAATAGCCCAAGAGGGGTGCAACACGCCCAAGATGACGCAAAGACAGCCTCAGAGGCTCCCAAAGCGCACCCAGAGAGGCCCAAGAGACTTCCCAAGAGAGCCCCCGAAGGCGAACATCGCCAAACTCCGATGGAAAACTTACAAATTTACAATGCACTGGTAGACGGCTTGGGCGCGCTGCACGGCAGCTCAAGAGGCTCCCAAAACCGCCACAGACGCCTCAAGACGCCCCCGAGAGGTCCCCAGGAGGCCGCCAAGACAGCCCAAGAGGGCACCATAAAAGCCCAAGACGCGCCTAAGACGGCCCAAGAGAGACCCAAGACGGCCCCCCAGGCCGCCAGCAGGTCCCCAACAAGCCCCAAGACGCCCCCAAGAGCTCCAGAAGAGGCCCCGAGAGGCTCCCGAACGGCTCCCAACACGCCCCAAGAGGCTTCCTTTCTCGTGAGACAGGCGCTTCGTGCCCTCCTCCTCCTCCTCCTCCTCCTCCTCCTCCTCATCCTCCTCCCGTCCTCCTCCCTCCTCCTCCTGCTCCTCCTCCTCCTCCTGCTCCTCCTCCTCCTCCCCCTCCTCCTCCTGCTCCTCCTGCCCCTCCTTATCCTCATCCTCCTCCTTATCCTCCTCCTCCTCTCCCTTTTCCTCCTCCTCTTCCTCCTCCTCCTCCTGCTCCTCCTCTCCCTCCTCCTCAGCCTCCTCCTCCTCTTCCTCCTCCTACTCCTCCTCCTCCTCCTCCTCCTCCTCCTCCTCCTCCTCCTCTCCCTCTCCATCTAGCCCTCCGTATCCTTCCCCTTGACATCGGAGGTAGCGCGGGCACAGGAGGAGGAGCCCCGTGGCGAGTCTCGGGCGGCACTCGAGCGCCGCAGCTGCCAGGCGGCAGGGCCTCTAGATATTAACTATAGTCCCCGGCTGGCCCCAGGAATTGCGCGGGGGGAGAAGGAGGAGCAGGAGCAGGAGCAGGAGCAGGAGCAGGAGCAGGAGCAGGAGGAGCAGGCGGAGCAGGATGAGGAGGAGGAGGAGTAGGAGCAGAAGGAGGAGGAGGAGGAGGAGGAGGGGACGGGGGAGCAGAAGGAGGAGGAGCGTGCTGAGCCCGCCCTAGACTTGCCCTGCAGCGGCGGCCTGCTGGGAGACGTCGTGAAAAATCAGGATGACAGTTTTTCATCGTTTTCGGCATCTGGGGAACGACGACGATTGCGACGACGACGACGACGACGACTGCGACTGCGACGACAACGACAATGACGACGATGATTGCGACTGCGGCGACGACGACGACGACGACGACGACTGAGACTGCGGTGACGACGACGACTGAGACTGCGACGACGACGACGAGTGAGACTGCGACTGCGGCTTCGACGACGACTGGCGACGACGACGACGACGACGACGACGACGACGACGACGCGCGATTTCCTTCTGGGAAGGAAAGCAGAGCAGCGCGGAGAAGGAGTTGCGCCGGGGCTCTTTGGACTTGCAGCCGTAGAGATTGGCTGTGGTTGCGGAGAGCCCTGGAGAAGCTATGACTAGAACCTACGCGCGCGCGTAGCGCGCGTTTGGTTTCTAGTGGATATATATATATATATATATACATGTGCGTTTATATGTGTATACACATATATATATATATATATATATATACCTGTTTTTATAGATCTTGATATATATATATATATATATATATATATCCAAATCATACCGAGTGCATTCGTGTTGCCAGCATTTGAGAACCAGACGGTTCTCAGTCCCACTATTTCAGATTGCGAAGGCCGTGCGGCCGGCGCCGCCGACCCTGAAGACAACGACGACGAGGACGACGAGGGTGTTGCGGAGCAGGTGGCGGAAGACGCAACGGAGCAGGAGGGGCGAGGGGGAGGAGAAGGAGGGGCGAGGAAGAGGAGGGGGTGGGGGAGAGGGGCGAAGGGGGGAATACGAGGAGGGGGGGGAGAGCAGCAGGGAAAGCGAGGCGAGCAGGGACGCATTTCCAGGAGCAGGGCGGCTGTCGAAGAGGAGGGGCGGCGGCGGGAAAAGCGTGGCCAGCGTGAACAGCAGGAGCCGGAGGAGGAAAGCAATGACGAGGATGTTGACGATGATGACGACGGCGCGGATGATATCGGTGATGATGACGATGATGATGTCGTTGAGGGAGGGGGCGAGCTGTAAATTGGAGGCAGGAAAAGTTGGAGGAGGAGGAGTAGGAACGTGAGGATGATGGTAATGAGGGGGAAGAGGAAGGGGATGAAGAGGAGGGGCCCGAGGCCGATGAGGAGGCCGAGGAGGGGCGGGAATTGGAGGCCGAACCGCCCGACGGGGAGTCGCATCTGCCCCGGGACCTCCCTGGGACCCCCCCGGGACCGCCTTCGGGACCCTACCCCGGGAACCGCCCCACTCCTGGCGGTGAAGGGATCAAAGGGAAGGGTCTTCCCTTCGACTCCACTACAACGTTGCTTAATTTCGCTGCGGCTGGCGCGCAAAAGGAGGGCCCGGCGAAAGTAGTGGAAGCGGCGAAGGCGATGACGACGACGACAACGACTACGACGACGATGACGACGAGTCAAACGGAACAGTCTCTTCCACACGCTGACAGGGTCGACGGATTTCTGCTCGCGCGCACCCGCTGAACTCGTAAAACAACAGTGTTATTGAGCCCGCAAAGAGGGAGTCACAGTGGGCCCCCAGGGGGTCGCTTGCACGCTGATGTTGCATTCAGTGTACGTTAGGGGTACTGCCTCGCTGAGGGTCGGTACCGATCGTTGCAATGTTTCTTGGGGCCATGTTGGCGTCCCATTGGGGGTCGGACTGCCATTCGGGCGTCCATAAGGGCACGAAGTGCGTGACAGGTGCCCCGAACTAAGCTCTCCTGAGCCGCCTAAGGTGTCAGTTGAAAACGTGAGGGTTGTGCCGAATTGAGCCCTTCGTGGCCCTCGGAGCACATATCATTCGTTGTCGAGGATGTTTCGCGCGAAGCGGCACTGCTTCAGATTCAGAGCCCCCTCCGGAGC